GGCTTGTGGGGCGCTGGGCACTGCCGGGAATGGCCTGGAGCCGCACCGAGCGTGTCCGGCCCCACAGGTCGCCTGGCTGGGCGTAGAAGCAGATCCGAACCCCCCTCAGGCTTTTTTCTTCTTGGTTTAGATGTTTTGTGCTCACTGCAGCTGAAGCCCCTGGCGCAGCTCGGGGTCGGTTCATCGACGTGTTGAGCACGGTTGTCCCCGCGCGTTCGGCAAGGCACGGTCCTGTGTCTGCCAGCTGACGCGGTGCTGGTTTTGTCATAGAGATGACGTGCTTTTGCCAATAGATAAACTTTTAAGTTAAGTAACAGCTTTATTAATGGGTCTCTAAGAATAACTAAAAGTAGGCACGCTGCAGAGAAACTTAGGATTTCGCAGTTTAGGATAACCTAGAAGCACTTGCCCTAATGTTCTGGCAGTACCGTTTCTTGAAGCCTGCTTTCCAAGCTATCAAGCAGATGTTCCTAACATAAGTTTATGTGAGCAAAGCAGGAAATTTCAGTAAGGGAAGCCTGACAGCTGCTCTTAAATATGCTAGATGTGCCTACTGAGGATAAACTGAACAGAAAGTAACAGCCCTGATCTCACTGTGTAGCCTTATTTATTGTTGGAGAAGCTCTTCGTTAGCTGTTGTCAGCCAAAACATGTGTGCTGTTCCAGCATTGTCCCTTACTTTGGTAGATCAGCATTTAAAATGAAATTTTTCTAGGTACTGTTAATATTCACAATCTGTTATTTTTGCTTTACCCAGGGGAGACTATCTACGATGCTGCAGATTCTGTTACCCATTATGTGCATTTGTCATTCTTGCTGCTTGTGTGGTGGCGTGCGTTGGCTTAGTCTGGATGCAGGTGGCTCTCAAGGAGGATCTGGATGCAATAAAGGAGAAGTTTCGAACTAGTAAGTATAAACATAACTACACTATTTCACATTTGCTTTGGGCAGTATGAAGAGCTTTAGGTGCCTACCTGCTTATTCAAAGTTTGAAAGTACTGAGTAGACAAACTGCCCCTGAACTGGAGTCTTCGGAGCCAAAACCACTCGGAGGCTGGGTGAATCCAAGGCAAATGTTACATCTCCTTGCCCAATGGAAAACAATGCTCTTGTCTTGAGCTCTTTTAAAAACCTCTAATACTTGCTATGGGGTTACTGCAATTTGTATGTTGCTTTGGTGTTATTTTTTTTTGTATCCTCTGAGTGTTTATCTTGCTTGTATTGACATGTTCTTGTTCAACTTCTATGCTATGTTGCATATGGTGCAAAGTTACATCATGTTTAATATTTCCAAGTATGGAGTTAAGGTGAAGCATTTTGCTTGTAGGTCTCAGGTTTTCCTGTCCATATAAGACTTCAATATTATAACTTCTGTAGTGCTGAGGTTTAACAAATGGTGAGATTTGCATGTAAAGTGTGCTCTGGGTTCTCTATACCTTATCTCTGCACACAAGATATGTTTTGGTGCTTTATTTTAGTAGTACTTAAAATCCTACCTATTGAAAAAGGCAAGGATAAGCTGTGTGAATGAAGCAGAAGACGGTGAAGCTTAAGCATTCAGGTAGTCTCTAGCTGCTTCAGGAAAGCTAGGTAGTTACGCTTTGCCTGAAATTGCCAGGAGTGTTTGTGCCCAGGACATGAAGGTGACCTTAAAAGTAAGGCTGGTGAAATCAATTCAAAAATTAGGAGGCTGCTAGGGCTGGAGGTAAGCAGAGTGCTTGATTTGGTTGTGGTAAAAGAGGTATTGAGGAAATGGATGTAGAAATTCTTTGCTGTTGGTGTTTAGGGCTTCCCGTTGGGGTGTGTAACGCTGCTGTGAGGTGGGGAGTTGTCTGCCAAGGTGGAACCTGCTGGCTGGGAGTGAGAGAAAGCGTTGCTGATAGATGTGCTTTTATATATTAACTGATACTGAACTCTGAAAGTTAGCCGTAACTGGTCTCCGCCGGCTATGGAGGATACCTTCAGTTACAGGCGCTGTGAGCGTACCGAACAGCTCTGCAGTAGCTGTTTCTGTGTTCTGGGTAAGCTGACTGCTGCTCGCCATGGACTGCTCTGCTTTAAGTATGTACTGGCAGTAAAAGTTTTGCACAATGACAACATTTGTTGGCTTTGGTGTGGCTAAGTTTCATCATTCCTGTTCTGCATAGACCTTTTTTGTTAAAGCAGTTGTTCTCTCTGAGCTTACTGTCTGGCAGCTACAGATGTTTTGGTTGTTTCCTTAATAGCTCTGATAGAAAAGCCGTGCTTTTAATAGGTGGTCTAGTAATGAAATCGTCTTGGATTTCCTTGCCACTGTAATAGCATGCCTCAAAGCTGGACAGGAGTCTGATAATGAGGTGCAGCATTAAAAACGACAACAAAAAGCCAATAGTAACCTGGTTCCAGAAAGGAACATTGTGCTCTGGCAAGATGGGTGGGTGGATGGAGAAACAAAGGTGTGGGATCCGTCTGTCCTACAGCAGGTTTTGAAAGAGAATCTTCCTCCTCTGAATCTTCATCCAGTTTTTTCCCCCCATAAGAGCAGATTCCCATGGCAGTATTGGTTAATGTTCTGTCATCCTTTGAACAAACAGAGTGTGGTATGAACACTTTTTAAAAATAAGACGTCTTTGCATCTAGTACGTTTGGGTTAGGGGAAAGTTATTGTAGTGTTTCCCTTTGGTTGTTAGTAATGATACTAAGAATGCATATAGTACTTCAGAGTTTTTTGCAGCGCTAAGGAAGTTAAGTGAGTCTCACTGTATGCAGTGAGAGTGGCAAAATAGAGAATAATCTGTCTGCAAGAGCCTCTGAAACATCAGATTCAGCGTGAACTGCTTGTGCCAAATGCACAATTAGCACTCAGTCTGTTTTGGCTAAAATACACCTTTCAAGGCCTTGCTTAACTGAAAGCATTATTTGATTCTTGAGTGGTCAACGCAGATTACTCCGAATTTAGAAATTACTTTTAGGACTTGCTTCAAGAAAAGCGAAGTGGGTTTTTGAAGATGCAGGGCTTTCCAGTTGTGTGTATTTGGGCATCCGCTCCATGGGCCTGAAGCACTCCTGAAGGCTTCCTCTTTGACTGGATGTCAAAGGAAAATTTGGATGCACAAGGAAATTTGTTCTAGGAGCTGCCAGCTACATACCACGTAGGTCCCACTGCTCTTGGCGGTCTGTGGTCTGAACGATTGGTGGTTTGTTGTGGAGCGTTCCTGTGCTGCTTTACAGGGTGGAGGTGCAGGTTTTGGAGAACTCACTCATGTCCATCTCAAAGCCTTTGCTTATTTGTTTCCCAGACCTAGGGTTTTAGGATTGCCTAATAGCGCTTGCAGCTAACAGCTTAGTCACTGCAGACCTGGAAGACCTGCATTTCTGAGACTCACTTGAATTAGTTTGAGCTGTATGTTTCCCTCTTCTTGTAGTATGAATTGCAGTAGTAGATGACTTTATTTCCAAGGACCTTGTTTACTGATTTGTGTACCAACAGACGCTAGTGTGTAAGCTTATAAATTATTTTTTTTCAGTAGTCTTTCTGCTACGTGGAATACCTGTAATCATGTTAATCTCTTTGGAATTCGCTTCATGGTCAGCAGCCCCTTTGCAAGCTTGAAAAGGGCACTGAGGTTCATCTCGCGTGCCTCTTTTGCCCTGGTTCTGTTGGCAGTTCTTATTCAAAGTCCCATTACTATTTCATGATCCTCTGTGAAAGTAATGCAAAGTAACTGCACTAAATAAAGACCTGCTGAGGGTTTGCCAGAATGACAGTACTATTGCAAAGTGTTAAATTTGGTATGGTCTCTCTGGGTTCTCTCTGCAGACATTAGTGCTCTTAGAACAAAAAAGAGCTGTCATTCTGAACAAACACTTAATTCTGAATTGGCAATAAACCCATACATAGAAACTGTTATTGCTGCCTTTCACTGCTGTAAAGGTTGCTACTTGTAATTTGTCTTTTGCCTTTCAATGTTGTTTACCTGGACTTTTGGGGTTTTTTAAATTAATTTAATTTTTTTTTTTTTTTTAGTGGAATCTAATCAAAATACATCATTCCAAGAAATTCCTAAACTGAATGAAGATTTGGTGCAGAAGCAAAAGCAACTAGAACAAATTGAGACTGGAGAACTGGGCTTAAATAAAATTTGGATAAATATCACAGAGATCAATAAACAGGTGAGGGGGATCAGTGCTTGGTTTTGAAAAAATAATAAAATATTCCATTCAGACTTATTTTTACAGAAATTAATTTCAAGTGCAGTGCTGAGCTTTTCTCTAAGGACTTCCGTGACCATATGCTTAAAGTTACAGTGGAGTATAGGCCTCATTATTAAACGAGCAAAAAAAGGATGAGCATCCAGTTGGACTGGAAACTGATTGCAAAGAGGAGAAATTATGCAACTGGTGGAAAGACTTCATGCAGAATTTATAAGAACCTGAGAACTGTACAGTTCTTAATTTTCCTGCCAAATAATTGTGATGTTTATGATGAGAGATTTGACATTTCAAATTTCTGTGAGTGTCTGCAAACACTTTGTGAGCGTGGAAAGAAGGTACCCAAATCAGTACAAGTTTATGTTGCTACAAATAAAGGACTGGTGTCCTGTGAACATAAAATCTGCTGATACGCACTCGGAATCTGAGCTGGTGTGAGTCTTAGCTCTGTTTATGCGGCTAGTACTAAGCCACTTAACAGAAAGCTGTTTTCTCAGCTGATGTATTAGCTCATGCTTCAGACAAAGCATTCAGCAAGGCTCTTACTGAATTTTTTGGTTTGGAGGGTAAAAGTTCAGAGCTGCTCACAGTTAGCAGTATCAAGAGGTGTGTGTGGGGAGCCCTCCCTGACACTGGTGCTTTGGGTTTAATTTTTAAGAGTATTGAGGTGCCTGCTCAGATTGTTTTTTCTTCAGTCCTGTGCAGTGGCTCAGTACTTAATGGGGCACATAAATATATTTGAAAATTACGGTATGTATTATCCACAGATGTATAGGTGCTTCGTTGGACTTTTCAAATGTTATCATCTGCACCTGGATGTTAAAGATACTTGCATGTCGTTCTTGCAGGCCCTCAAGTTGCTTCAGGGTCTGGTTACAGCCCGAGCCAGCTCTTCTGGGGATCAGAATTTAGTTACTGTGGGTTTTTTCCTCATAAATTGTTAGGATACACTGCTGGGAATTGTGTCAGCCAATATTCACAGCTGTGGAACCAGACACTCTGCAGGCCAGCTGATCAATGTTGGCCTAATGTAAAATTAGGATCTTGTCCATTTCCTCAGCTTGCAAAACAACTTTTTTTTTTTTTTTTTAACCAGAAGGAAGTGGGATTTATCTGCTCTACTTTTGTGTTGTCAAATGTGAGAAGAAATTATTTTTCTTCATTTTGACTCCTGATGGCTGCCAATTGATCTTAAAGTGTTAGAAATTAATGATCAGCATGTGGTTGTTTTTAATTCATTTGACAGCCTGTCATCCTGAATGAATAAATAAATAATCCTGAAGACCCGTTGAATAACTTGCCTTCTAGGTCAAACAATTGACAGAAATTGAGCTATCCCACTGTACCTGGATTGTCACTGCTCCGCTTCTGTAGCAGAAAATTTAGGTGATACATGCACTTTCTTTGCCTGTCACTGAGATAGAGAAGTTGCATGGCTTTGCTGGGTTTTGCCAGGCAGGTTTGATTGCTAAATACAGAAGTAGATAATTATTTCCTCCACGTAAAGGCTTCTTGCACAATGTGTAAAATCTTTCTTGCACAACAGCCTCTCTCTTAAGGGGATTAATGTAAAATGGGCAGAGGGTACATTACTGAAAAGAAGGGGTTTCTATGATTTTTATTCAGTTTTGGAAAAAAAAAAAAAATTGCCTCTGTTGCAGGAGGCAGAATATTTTAAATGTAGCCTAGGCAGGACTTGAGCCAGGGGTGTTTTGTGTGTGTGTGTGTATATTGGTCTTGCCTTGTTACAAATGTTACAAATTAAGTCATATTGGGGAAGGTCAGAATCAGGATTATGTTGACACATTCTAAACATTCCTCTTTGTTTTTAGTTATCACTATTGACCTCAACAGTAAATCATCTCAAAAACAACATAAAGTCTGCTTCTGATCTGATTTCTCTTCCTCTCACAGTAGAGAAACTTCAGAAGGTAAGTACAGTAGATGTGGCTATTGCTAAACATTTTCTGTGCTGCTAAGCTGCAGCTGGGGTCTTGGGGACAGCAGTGACAACAGGAATTACCTGAATTGCACGTGAGGAATATTTGCTTCTCCATCTTGTTTTTAAATTTGACTTAATGTACTTGATATGATCCTGTGATAATGTATGGCAGATAAAAAATTTTAAGGTCTTGGTTGTCCCTTTCTGGAGATGCATTTCTTTCTGATTGTATGATGTTATCACTTCTTTACCTTGGAGCTGATCTTTCTGGTTGCTTTCCTTCAGGTTGCTAATCTTCGTATCATTTAAGACACTTGCAGAAAGTCTGTCTGCAGTTTTACAACTCTGCTTGCAGTTAGGGGGTTTGTTTAGCTTTTTTTAATTGGAAAAGAAAATTGATTGCTTTCTGGAAAACTTCCTCATCTTGGGCAGTATATAGTTCTACATCTGGCTCTGCATTTACAGTCTTGAGGTGGGGGGAGAGTCTAACTTGGGAGTGGTGGGCATGGAACATCAGTGTGGGAGCTTTATTGGTGTTCAGTACACGCATAGCAAAACGTGAATTGTACTGGGATGGTTTTCTGACAATCCCTTGAAAGGTGGGCCCTTCTGGGTTACACAGGCTTACTTCTGAAGTGACTTCTGTTAATACAGTGTCTTACCACATGCCTTAGCTGAGCATTCTTTACCAAAGAACTGCCCTCCTTATTTTGGTAAAAAGGGCTTGTTGAAACTTCTGCAGCTCTTCCATGGCAGTTCTGTTTATTTAGCAATAAGCATTTGTGTTGGGCTAACACCTAATGTCAGTCCAGTTGTCTTTGTGGCTTTTATGGGTTTCCACTTCTCATTTCCTATCCCTACAAAATTAATGTATAATCAACAAGCCAGTCATATGCAAAGCAATTAGTGTGGTTTGGCTGATCATGCTGCTAGGATTTCTTTTTCTGGGAGAAAAGCAAAGCTATTTCCTAAGCTTCTAATTTGCTGTTATGAGCATGCTGGATTTCCACTGTGTCGTATCAGAAGTAAGTCTTAAGGCAGTACCTAGAGTCTGGAAACTGCACCTACTTTATTTATATAATGTAGAAAAACCTTGTCATCTTGCTGCTTCAGTACTGTCAGGACAAAGTGTTAGGGCCAACAAGTTTCAGCTTGCAGCGATCTGCTGAACAGCAAGGCTTTTTTCACGTTGAAGTAAGTCCCTCCTTGGTCGCGCTTTGTGAAAATCAAAGATCTTGAACTTTTGAATTCTTGCCAATCTCTGCTGTTGAGTCCAAGTAAGGTGTTAGAAGTAGCATCTGTTTCGCACTGTTCTCTTGATGCCATCTTGCTTACATTTACCTTTTGCAAGGTTGATATGGTAAAAACAGAGCTGAAATCCTTCTAAGAGGTATATTGTGAGGTGTTGAGTGTAGAAAAACTATTTGGAGGTTTATATACAACCTTTTTAATGGTTTGTAAGTGTTATGTTAATGAAAAGCAATAGGTTTCAAGACTTGGACTTCTTTTTGACCCCTCTGTGTGTGCTGCACTACCTCCTGTCACACAGGAGAACTTCAGTGGGTGTAGGTTGGTAGCCTGTCTTTTGGTTGCCCTGGTGAAAAATCTCCTGCTCAACTGCCCATTGCATCCAGCTGTCTTTGGAATTACCTGCCTTTCTTGGAAGAAAAGGCTGCTATTCTTAGAATAGGATTTTGATTTTCTTAAGCCTTTTTTCCCTCTAGGTACTGTTCCTGAAAACAGGGAGCTGCCTGCTGGTGGTAGAGTCCTGAAGGATTATTTGGGGAGTTCCTCGGTCAGGGGCTTTTGTTCAGACTGATGAAAGGTATTAAAGGTGTCCTGAGATCCTCCAGGGCAGAGAGATTGCTTGCTGAACCTGTGTTCAGACTTGCAAAATGAAGAGCTCAGGAAGATTTGTATGGATGTTGTTTGAATATAGTCTGGGTAGCTAGAGGGTCACTTTAGTGCCTTAAGAGCTTATGAACATAACAGGTTCATAGGAAAAGGGGATTTTTAAATGAGTTCCGTTTGTTTTATTGATTGAAGGAAGTATTAAAAATTGAATGAGAAGCATAGGGGCATGCTCTGTCCAATTACTGTAACTTCCATTAGTGTCTGTGGATGTCCTAGCTGATGGTCTGACTTGGATAGGTGCAATCCTGTCAGCTGCTGAAACACCAGTGCAGCTTTACAGAATAGTTACTTTCAAAGGTTAGAGCTGGGGGTAGGGGGAGTTCACGTAGGTGAAGGCAGGGGAACGATGGGACGGGAGCAAAGGTAGCTGTCGCAGCACACTGACTCTATCTGCAGAATTCATGGGGGCTATCCTGATGCTTCAGAGCTATTCTTTCATTTTAAGAAAGGTAATGCTTGCTTGAAAATCTAATCTGTGACCTTTGGCAGACTAGTTTTGCAGTGTATGACGTGTCTGATGGATAGCCATTAAAGACCAGTAAGGCAGGGTCAGTGGGTGATGTCCACATCCTTGTAGTCAATACAAGTACTCCATGTAGAGTGGAGATAAGATGCCTTCATCTCAGGTTTATTTTTTTGTAAATTAATGCCAGACCATCTGTGGGTGTGAGAGTAGCAAACCCGTAGTTTTGGTTATCTAGCTTAGGCTCTCGTGGTGTAGAGTGTGTGTTCATCTATTGGCCTGGAGATGCCTTGGGTATAATTTACAGTTTTTTCTCCAAAGGAAGTTCCAAATACTCCAAGCTCATGTGCACCTTTTTGTGGCGGTCTGCCTGTGGTTTCACTAGCAAAACATTGTGTTTAGCAGATTGAAGCTTTGGAACAGTACAGCTGAGGAAGACTGAGACTTTTTTTCTACTTTTTTTCTTCCAGACTGTAGCGAACATAGGTAGCACTCTTACCAGTGTTTCTCATGATGTTGAAAATATACAGACAGCTATTGAAGAGTACAAGAAATCCATAGAAATACTCCAGAATGATGTGGTAAGAAAACATGCCAATTTAACACTGTGCTTTAACTGTTACCTGCCTAATATGAAGCACGTTTAAGAACTGTGTGGAGTTTTGCATTATGCCTTCAAAATACTTTTGAAGTTTTAGTAGATGCTGGCTGGTACCTTAATACGCTGCTAATTTCATGATCCCTGTGTGGCATCTCCTCTGTGGCATCAAGTATGTAACTTCCTGTAGCCAAAATTGTTGGTTGTTTCTGTACTTCCTATCCTGCAGATTTTTGCTTCCTACTACACAGATGTGGAGCCTTGGGAATCTCTGCTCTTGTGTGATGCAGGGTACTGCTTATGTTAACTGCACTGTCTTAGGAACTGGGGATGGTGGAAGCATTGAGATGCAGTTTGCTGGTTGAATTAAGGACGCATGTAAGGGTGAAATGACTGACCATCTTTACCACAAATTACTCACTCTGTACCGACCCCTGCCTTGGGGTTAACAAACTGAGCCAATAATTAAAGGTTTTCAGCTAAACCGCAATATAGCATTACTTTAATAAGAGTCCTTGCAGAAAAAATATAAATTGAACACATTATAAAACTTGATCTGGTCAGTGGGTGCTGTGAAAGCATTGCAGGTATGGCAGTGTGTATGTAGCAGTGAAATGTGTGTTGTAATACTTCATTAAAGGGAGAAGAGCTAATTAGGAGGGTTTAATTAAAATAAATTTGGACCTTATGTGTCTGAAACAGAAAACTGTGTATTAGCCTAGTTAAAATACTGCATGGACAACAGACATGAGTGACTGTAATTTTAGCAAAACATCCTTAGCTACAGCCTGCCAGTTATTAAAAGCTTAGTATTTTTTTACAGGCATTTGGTAACATAATTTTCTGTTTCTTTCCTTAGAAGGAATTAAAACAGATACCTTCACTTCCCTCCACTGTTGCACCAAGGACTGAGAGAAATCAGACAGAAAATTGCAAACAGGTATTTTTCTCCCTTGCATAAGGAATATTGATACAAGTATCACTGATACTTAACTTTTTTGAGTGTTTTGCAGTATTGTAGTGTACAAAAAAGAATGTTTTTTTATTAAGACAATACAGATCTCCTTCAAAAGGAAACATGATCATTTTGCTGTAGTTTGTTCCTCTCTATGTGCAAACAGGAAAGTATCCTAGTCTGAGAGTACTTTTTTGTGTTCTAACTGGGCGAGGAGTAAAAAGACCTATCAAACAAATTATAGGTGTACTTTACTCATGTAAATGGCAATGAGTTAAAGGCCTTTTATCAAATGGATTTTATGGCAGGTAGTTGCCAATCTAAGCCAATTTGGGAGTGGGATGTATTGAGTCACCCTCAATGTAATAAGGCGCAGAAAGCGGGGATTCAGCAACAACAAAAAAAAGGGATAATGTGTGGGTGTTTAGCTGAATGGCTTGGAATAAAATGACTGCATTTATTTACCTTTAATACAATCGATATTTACACACAAGATTCAGTTTTGAGGAAGATAGGCCTAGTACAGGCTTTCTTGGGAAAAATCGTTGGTGTGGTTGCTAAGCTTGCCCTGAAAAATTATATGAATAGGCTTTGTGTGTTTGCTGGCACGGTTGAAGCAGTTACATTAGCAACAAAGAGGTTAGCCCTGAGGAAAATGTCTATTTCAAACTTTGAAAGCTGGGTTAACTTTCTGGAAGCTTCTGCTCAGATGTTTTCAGCAGTGTCAGTGGAGAGCCAGTCTGAAGTCTGCCCAGTTAAACTGGGTCAGTCACCATGTTGTTAATAGCAAGAGTGCTGCAGAGGTTGAGTAAACTGATATGTGCTGGTTTTATGTTTCAGGAAAGCCAGTTGCTGCATGCAGCTTTGGAGGAGCTAAATAATACTGTAGTGGCGTACCAAAAGCTGAATGACATCCAGCTTCTAAATGTGGATTCAGCCGTCACTAACCTTAGCCGGAGGGTTATGCTGTTAGAAAACTCCCCCCTTGCTGTGAATAATCTGGACAAAAGAGAGAACTTGTCTACCAATGTGGTAAGCATTTGATGACTAAGGGTGTCTACTCAGGCTGTACGCTACAGACATAGCTCTTCAAACCTAACTAAAGAAAACGTCAGAATGAAACTTGATACACTTAGGATTTCATTTGAGAAGACTGGAAATTGTTCCATATTTCTGGACAGATAAACAACATTAAGAGTATCTCTGAAGTAGTCATTTCTTCCCTGCAGAATCTACAGAAAAATGTTCAAAACACTGTGGCATTTAAGACTGCTTAATGGGACGGGATTCACAAACCTCTTTAACTATGTTTTAGGAAGGCACACTGGCATGTAAGGGGTGTGTTAAGACCACTAAGGAGCTAAGTGGGCATCTGGATTGTACAGTGGTGCTTAAATGCTAAAAAAGAAATTAATAAATTAATACTAAATATCTTCATAAATCCTTCCAGTGCTTTCTGTATGCCATACTGGGGCCAGTCTCTGAGAACATGTTCTGTATGTTTAGCAATAAGGAACATGCTGACATTCCTGTGGTAAATTACATAACCCACTGTCTTTATGTTTATTCTAGCATGTATTTCTCCTGTTTTTTTCTTGTTTCAAGCCTGCCAAATTTGAAGGAAAGAAACTTACTGTAGAAAATAATAAGCACATGAATAAACTCTGCTCTCCTCCATTTTTCCTGCAGGGGAATGGTGCAACTACCTCTCTAAAAGTGGAAAATGAAGAACAACTAGATAATGAAACTCATTCAGATAAAGACCTGAAGGTACAGTAAGGAAACACAAATTACACTGGATTAGTAGAGCATGTTATTGTCTTAAGTCTCATTTAAAACGTGATTATAAATTGAGGAAAGCAAGCAAGCAGGCTAATCTGATCCAGTTTGTTTTAAAAGTCCAGAGCAGAAGGTCAGTTTATCCACCCCATTTTGGGGACAGGAAGTCAATTAGGATGGAAGAAAAGTTGTAATTGTTTAAAGTCTTATCATTCTGACTACATATGAGATAACATAGCAGAGCTGCTATAATATCCTTTTGTGCAGTTGAAAGAATCTTGGTAAGTTCAGACCATGGTCCAGTGGAACAGGGGACTCTGGAGGCCAGCTCATTTGAGTACCTGTTGCCATGCTCTCAGCAAAGCTAGCCCAAATGTTGTTGGTTCACACTGCAAAGGGGCTAACGGCATTTATCCAGGTTTAAAAACTTTCTCGGGTTGACATAGAGAAACTTCATGCTAGTGGAGTCTAGGAATTGATGAAAGCCACTTCTCAGTAATGATCTGATGACTGGCTGCGAGTGAGCTTAAGAGACTAACTGAATGGCCAAATTGTGGGCTGGGGATAAGAGGCAGCGCTGCTGAGGTTAGTTTCCACTTTCTGGAAAGAAGGCAGGTGAGTGAACTGGCTACTCTGTCAGTTCTAAGCTTGGATTGATGTGAACTCAACCTAACATCTGGAACCGCCTCGTAAAAAGAGCAAGGGAGCTCCATATTAAAAAATGAGGTGGTTTTATTTTGACTCCAGAACAAAGGTTCTGCAGACGAAGATTTAAAACAATTGTGCAATTCAATTAATGTATAAATGTTCGCTCTGAATATGTTAGACTGGTTTATATAGTGATTTTTTTCAGTGTCTTGCTCATTTATATAAGAAATACAGAAATTAAATGTCAGAGTATTTTGAAATCAGTGTCTGCAAAATAGTTGCCTATTTTTCAGATTGAGGTACTGATTCTATTGTTTTCTTACAGACCGTGTGAATTTATTCCTTACATCTTTCCATAGATTTTTTTTTTTTTTTTTTTTTTTAATATCTTATTTTAGAATTTTAAACTTGATCAGCCTGGAGATCTCCAAGTCACTCAAAAGTACTTGCAGATTAAAAATTACTACTTTTCCTGATCTTCTCTACCTACTGAAAAATTTTTAAGAATTTTTTTTTTTTTCTGCTTAAGCAGGAAATGGGAACTAGAGATTCTCAGGTATCAAAACTAAGAGAGAAGCTTCAGCTGATGAGTGTTCTCACAGGCAAGCCAGAAAATGACAGACCCATTGAGACATCAAAGAATGGTAAGAATGTTGTATAATAGTAACCCATAAACCTGAAGGTTTCCTGTGTAATTCAAAGAATAATTGACGAAGGTGGATAGTTAATTCAGGTGGTTCCTTAAGATTTTTGGTGAAGATTATTTCGGTTAGTGGTAGGAAACTGATAGCTCCAAATCAGAAAACTACATATGACTACAAAAGTTTGAAGGTGACTTTCCATGTGTATGGCAGTTTTCACATGCATCAGTAGCTTGTATTTGAAGGCACACAGTGATGAACTTGTAGATGTTACTGGGTATAAATTTCTATCTTTGCTTTTTCAAAATCTGAGTGTAACATAGGGGAAAGGTCTGTGTCTCTGCTGACTTGTCTCAGTTCTGCACTTTTGCTGTATATATTCAGGTAGTGCTGAAGATAGGATTTGAAATGCTTCATTACAGTAGACCTGTGCTTGTTGTTAATCTGCTAATCAGCAACTTGGAAGTTTAGACCTTGCTCTTGGGGAAGATAGATACCCGCATTGACAAGGTGAAAACAACCCAGGTGGGCAGAAGTAATTTGCTTAATAAAGCTTCTTTGGCACTTTCAGACTGGGAAATAGAAAGCACTTCTAAGTCATTCTTTGTATGAGGTTTACAAATACACATCTCCTAGTACAGCATGAAAGATTAAAGCTGTATAACTGTCCAAAAAAAGTTTCCTTCCTTCTGTTCTTCCAGTTTTTAGTAAAAGGGACAACACTGCTGTATTCTGAAATGATTTTGCAGCATTCTTATCCCATGCGGCACATGTGACACAAAAAGAAAATTAATTTATTTTATCAGCATTCTTTTTTTGTTTCTGCTAACCGTAATTCTGTGGAATAGGTAAGACTAATAGAAATTGTTTTGTAACAGTTGAAAGTAGTCTGAGTACCACAGCAAAGCCCACAGACCTTTCAAGGCTGGCTTCGAGGTCAGCTGATGACAACACAGAGGGTAACGGACAGCTGAGACATCCGTCCTTACCAGGAGTTTCCAACGTCAAAGGTATGTCCTTTCTAGGGTGACCTTTTCTTTTTCTGAATATTTCATGTAAACGTTTAAGAGACAAGGAAGTATAACTGGAACTATGATAGTGTGCCTGGGCATTCTGGGAGAAGTGAGGTCAATTTTAAAAGCTTGAGAACTACAGACTTTAAAAAAAAAAAAAAAAAAAAAAAGAAACAGTAATTAACCTCCCCCAAAAGACTTAGCCTGTAAAAGAGGAAAAAAAAAACCAAACCCTGGATTTAAACAGGAGTGTGCATTATAAATGAATTGTAATTGTTTTGAGTGCCAAAGTATTATAACCAAGTGTCCCAGAGATTGAGAGAAGTCAAGGGCAGAATTAGGGTGGAAGGAAAACGAAGTAGGTGTGAGCGTGTATGTTTTGGGGTTTCTTCTTTTCTTTATTTTAAGAGAGCACTGCCTGGTTAAATGAGTGGTTTCTGGATCTTGTTCAGTCTCTTCAGCTACTGAAAGGGCAGTGCTTTGCATCAGGAAATGAACAGACACTTTTCCCTTTTATATCGTCTGTGCTGTTGATATAGCAACAGTTGTTCAGAGCTTGCTTTTGTGGAGGATAACTTCATCTGTATGCAGTTAGTGGCTGTAGAATGGGCTATTAGTCGTGGCCAGAAATGGGGATTATTTTTTTTTTTTCAGATTTAATGTAATTTAATCCAGAAATGCTCATGCTTTTTTCCCCTAAACTGTTACTGACAGCTTGCAACAATGCAGAAGGCAAGCTACGTACTTGGGTCTGCTTTATTTAATTACCAGGTAGAAAGACATAGTGCAGTAGAACTGGAAGAGCAGCTTATAGGATGTTCCTGTGTACTTAAAGGAGCTACTTTTAAATCATTTTCTCTTTGCAGATCTTCAGAATTTGTTTGAAAAAGCAACTGAAGGTTCCGATGGAAAACTATCATATGAAGATCTTCAAAAACTGCTTGGCTCTGCATCCCAAGAGTCACAGAGCTTTAGGAAATTTGACACAGATGGAGATGAGAAATACTCTTTACAAGAACTGAGATTAGCTTTAGGTGTATAGGATATATACTTAGAAATGTGGTATTGATGGATGCTACTGTAGCTAAAGGAAACTACGGGACATGAAAAACTACGTCTGCACTTTCCCAGTGTTTTACTGATCTTTGAAGCTAAATTACTGTACACATTGCCACCTTTTTTTTTTGCATTTATTGAAAAGAAATTTACAAATTTATATGTCTATAGGACATAATATTGGGACTGTGTTTAAAATCCAGAAAAATCCCAAACTGGGAAACACTTTCCTCTCACTAAAAGGGAGTTCTTGGTTTTAATTTAAAATGTGTACATACTAAAATAAAACTTTGGTTTTATATTTCACTGAAATTTGCCTTAAATTAGAGAGCTGCACTTTATGTAGAGCAGAAAGAAACCTGTCTTGTAAAGATGGGATGCTTCTGCTTGTAAATATTTGAGATAGAGTAAATTATGCATATTTAAGGGGAAGCTTGTGTCAGGGGCTGTGTTGGTAGTAAGCTGATTATGATGAGAGACTGAGCCTAAAAGGGGTGGTTAAGAGCTTCAGCTAAACTTCTGATTTTGGCCAAGTATATCCACGAATGAGTTTGGACTCAGTCAGAGGAAAGCAGGAGTGGTAAATCATGCCCATCTATAGCAGGATTTATTTTTAGAGGGAAGAGTCGAAAATGTTTTCATATCATGAGCCTACAGGAGCAATTACCTCCCGAGTGGTTGGGTTTTCACTTCAGCATTCTTTTAGCTTTGCTGTATTGTGTCCAGATTATTTTGCGAGATGACCCTATCTATTAAAAAAACCAAAACAGTAAAGCTATTGAAGAACTTTAACAGATGCTTTAGGAGGTAAAAGCCTACAATGCAGCCTGCTGAGTAGCACCTGAATAGTTTGTACCTCTGGTATGATCAGCGGTGTGCTGACAGTCTCGCTGACTGGTCGCTGGAGATCTTCTGACAGGGTTGCTGGTGCTGTTGGTTTCTTCCATCCACTGTTGCTGGGATCACTGATGAAGTGCCCTGAGTAAAGCTCCTGTCTCTAGAAGCGTGAGCAGGTGGGGAAGGCCCAGAGTAGACTTCTGGGCTGTTTCCTGACTAATGTGAATGTGATTGCTTCTTGGTACCTTTACCTTCTGTGTTCTCACCCGTGGAAGGATGTAAGAAGCAGGATAGGAGCATGCAGTCGCGTTGGAGTTCTCTACTGATGCATGCTTTTAAGTGAGGTTTCCTTGCTATAAAGGAGCTTAAAGGTTTGTTTATACCAGTGGATCTAAACACGGAATGTTTCTGGAACATAGAAAATGGCTTTTGCGGAAGGGATTCTTTTGCAGGCTAGACCAGGGCCAAGTCGGGTGATTTTGCTCACGAATACCGCTGATCTTGTTGGGAGTTTGCATGATTAGTGGATTGAAGTTGCCTGCCTCGCTGAAGCATCAGTTTATGTGGAAGTCAGTTCATAGTTGTTGACTTACGTATAACTTTAGACTGGATGTTTTATGAATAATTGTATCCTGGAGTATGAGTCAGTGAAGGAATGTAGAAAATGGAGCCCTGTTACCCATTGCCTAGGCATCTTTCACTGTTGCTCTTCTGTCCTGTTTGGGTAATGCAGACGTGACCCAGTATGACGATGCTTTTAATCTGACATTGGAAAATGGGAGTATTTAAAAACAAAACAAAACCAACCAACCTTGGCTTTTGAGAGGACAAGAAGCCAACACTTGCTTCTTGCTACTTCCCACACCCTTTTATACGCTACCGTATAATTCCTTAACCAAATAAAAAAAAAAAAATTAGCAATAAAACGTAACCATTCTGGTATTTTATTTGTACATAGTGTATCATAGCCATATGCCAGAGTTTGCAAAATATTTTTGGAAGTTTGATTTGTACGAAATTTAACTTACCTTAAAATTTAAGGGGTTATTGTATTGCCATGTGAATCTATTAGTGTTTTGTTTTGTTTTGTTGCAGTCTGCTTCACTTTTAGAAGGCTTTTCAACAGCAATAGTGAAACTGTCAGCTGGAGATGGTGTGGGCTGCTCCAGCTGCCTGTGTCCGCTGCCTGTGGCCAAGGAGCCGAGCTGGTCAGTATTTGGCGCTAGGGCACAGCTGTCCAGCGGTGCTGCTTCATTTGCATGTCAAGAGCATAGCGCATCGCTAATTGCTGTCCTCACTGCTGTGGTAGGGTGGATTTGTGCTATCAATTTCACAAAAAGCCGATCATCCCCGAGTACGGCAGGTTGCTCTTTGGCCCGGGGTGGCCGGTAGCGGTGTGCTGCGGGCTGGGATCCCAGCCAGCCGCTCCCATCCCTGCCGCTTTCCCGCTGCCCTGCTGGTCTCCGTCTTGCACGCTTTCCAAAGCCCCGGTGCGGGGGGTCGGCAGGCTCCCTCCCTGATGTTTTATTCACGCTGTAGAGGGTATAAAAGCGCTGGCGTGGTACGGACGCGTGTCCGGATCTGCTCTCCACCCAGCCGGCGGGCTCCCCGAGGGGCAGCCAGCCCCGGGGGGCCACTCGCCTTGCGGGGGGCGAGGCCCAGAGAAGAAAAGCCATGTCTGAAATCAAATTAAGCAGCGCTGCTGGGTCCGCAGGTGGCAGCCGGGGCTGAGGCGCGCTGTTAGGCCGTGCTTCTTGGGTTCGCTTTCAGGCTGTACCTGTGCGGGGTTTTTGGGGGGTGACTCCTGCGTAGGGACCACTGTGTACACCTCTCGGTTGGGTTGCTGGCCTGTGCGAGCGGCGGAGCCCCTGCCTGCTCCGCTCCTCCGGCTGTGAGCCGCGGCACCCCGCGCCTCTTACCGTGTGACGCGACTTTTAATTTATCTGAATAAAAATTCCTTTCCAGCCTGCG